CTTATTTCCATGTCCTTGCAAAGCAAATAATAAACCTTACCTGTAGTGCTTTGATCATTTTCTCCTTCTTCACTTTTCTGAGTGCCTACTGTGTGCCAAGCTCTGCTGGGCTCTGGGGATACAAGATGGATAAGGCGTGGCCGTGCCAGCCCTTCAGCTAGGCAGTAGGAAATCCTTTTGATGGCATTCTCTTGACATAATGAGGTATGTGCTAGGGAGCTGAGGTGGGGCGAAGGTAGTGGAAGGCTTCCTGGAGGAAGTGACACCTAAAATGAGGCTTAAAGAAAGTGTTCACTGAGAGAGGGCAGCGGGACTTACCAGCGTGGTCCCCAAAGCCTGCTGGCCGGGGAGCAGTGGCGTGTAGGACCACAGGGCATGACTGCCCAAGGGACAGCAGGGCCCAAAGATAAGTTTAGGGAACTGTGTGCAGGATATGGGAGTCTACATTGCCTATCTTTGAAGATCTCAGAAATCCTCTAGTTAAAAAGAAGCCCACTGAGTCATCCTAGTCAAGGACCTTTGGGCTATCTTGGCCCCAGGCTACTTTGAGGAGGCAACATAACGTCATGAAATAGAAGTCTTCTTAGGACCCACGTCCAAGCACCTGGCTCTCAGTTGCTCATATCTGTGCCTTGATATCTAGATTTCATATCTGTGGAAAACAGACCTTTATGTAATTGTATTTTAGACCAAGCTGCCGTCTACCTAAAATTCACCAGGAGTCCCAGGATCCCATTTTTGGGACTGCTGATCTTGTCTCTGTTTTTGCAGAGATTAATCTCCCAACATCAGTAGTCTTTTAACTGATTAGAATGTTCTAAAAAAACTGATGTTTCTTTGCACTTACCTCCTCTCTGAGAAAGTAGGATAGATATTAATAGAAACTCTTTGACCAGCAGCCAGTACTATTGTTCTTGCGTGTAAGAATCATGGATGTGCTTCACGTGTCAGTTTGCAGGAGTCGGATAAAATTTTAACAAAAAGCTCAGTTTAGGGCACTGGTTCAAAAAAAATGTCCTGCAGAATTACTGTTTCTGTAAAAGTCATTTCTTAAATGGAGGGATTACTATTTTTATATAATTTTTCTAGAATCATCTAAGAGAGGTTTAGAATTAGACAAACATGAGTTTCAGCCCCATCTCCAGTACAGGTCGTCCCTGACTTAGGACACAATTTCTTTCCCACGACAGTGTCAAGTCAGTTCTGACGTAAGTTGAATACCTCCTGCCTTTTTTTTTTTTGTCATTATTACGGCCTTGTAGTATCAGTGTCTTTATAAATGCAATCTTCATTTGTCTTTGGGCTTGGAAACATTATGTATAAACATATGTGAGTGGATATCTGAGAATGATAACATCAGCAAATTACAAGCTGCAACACTGAATGTGGTACATATTACTAATATAAGATGTACCAAAAAAAAAAAAAGGGTGGTCATAAGTGTGGTTTGTTGTGACTCAGGAACTTCGTAAGTCGGAGACTACCTGTCCTTTTACAAAAGAAACTCACAGATAAGTGATTAGTCTCTGTGAGTCTTGGGGTCACTGTTAATAACAGGGGAATAAGCATATCTACCTCAGCAGTATCAGTGAGTTACCGTTTGTAAAAGTCCTTGGCACATGGTAGGCACATTACACATTTTTATTACCTGACCTGTTTTCTCAGTGACTAAGTTGAAAAAGAAAACTCTGGCTTGACCTCTACTCCACACCATTAAGTCAGCGCTCACAGCTTGCTGTGTTGTTATATGGTTGCTTTTTTGATGGCTTTGGCGCCATTCATGCACTGTGGAAACTTACCGTATTTGAGAACATGTGTAGCAGGGCAAAGGCCAGAAGGGGTCTGGGCTTTTCAGTTTGGTTCCCAAACAAAGTTTCTGCTTCTCGTTCTGAAAACGCATAACCGAATTCTCTTCATTTTCAGAAGTCAAAAGGGTCTTGGATTCCTTCGGTGTCAAAATCTCAAATATAACCGCTCAGGTCCCTATTCAGGACACGTTAAAAAATTTCACGGTTTATGTCAATAATACCGAAACTTACGTCAACCACAATTTGGTCACATTGGAAGAATATGAGTCATATAGGTGAGTGTCTGCTTTGAGGGACCTGAGGATGGAAGGGAACATCGGTTGTTATCACCAGAACAATCAGTTGTTCAAAGAGGCCATATCTGACACATTCTAACCCTTGTTTCTGTTCATTAAAAAAGTTGAAGACTAGCCACCCTTGAACCAACTATCCCCATATTTGCCATTTGATGTCATCATTGGTTCCTACAATCATAATCATAACTATTAAGGTGGACATGTGACATGATTTTAAATCTTAAAAGTAATTAAGAAGGGCACTTGGAATAGATTATTTTCTTTTTTAATAGTGGTTATGAAGTAAATACATGGAGATTGTTGTTGTTATTTGCCATTGAATCAGCCTCAACTCATAGTGACCCCTCCTTGGGTTTCCAAGGTGGTATCCCTACGGAAGTAGATTGCCCAACCTTCCTTCCGAGGAGTGGCTGGTGGGTTTGAACCCCAGCCTTGTGATTAGCAGTCAAGTGCCTTAGGCACTATGCTACCAGAGCTCCTACATGGAGATTAACTCTTACCAAAAGAGCATTCTCTCCTGAGCCTTGCCTTGAAACCAGTAAATTGCCCAGAAGAGCCCAGTTCTGGGGTGGTGTGCCCATTAGAGAAGCTTGCGGCGGGGTCTGGCTGGGGTAGATGATAGCAGGCACAGGGCTAGGAAGGGAAGGACTCAGGCTGGAGAAATCGAGAGGATCCTGCCGGAAGTGAGATGCACGTTCTTTGCAGGGTTCAGCCTGCCTGCCACTCGACTCACCCATTCTTACTGCCCAAACCCACAGGGAGTCAGAAGATGTTCATTCTTATGCGGTTTCCTGATGATGTGAGAGCCCACACAAATCAAATCCCAACAGTGGTGGCCAACATTGATAGGCCAGTTATGGCGTGCCTACTATGTACTTTACTAACATGTGACCTCTCACTTCATGCACACAAAAAATACCCAGAGCTGTGTGACCCTTTTCTGCCATTTTTGGAGTCCCTGGGTGGTGCACAAGGCAGTGATTAAGTGCTCAGCTGCCAACCCAGAGATTGGCAGTTCAAACCCGCCAGCTGCCCGGTGGGGTAAAGATGTGACAGTCTATTTGTAGAGATCACAGCCTTGGAAACCCTGTGAGGCAGTTCTGCTCTGTCATACAGGGCTGCCATGAGTTGGAGTTGACTGCATGGCAAGGAGTTATTTATTTATTCTTTTGGTGGGTAGTACGAACAGTTAAGCCCTTGACTACTAACTGAGAAGTTGGCTGTTCAAACCCACTCCAGTGCTTTGGAATACAGGTCCAACAGTCTGCTTTTGAAAAGTCAGTCTTGCAAACCCTGTGGGGCAGCTCCCCTCTGCACACACAGGGTCGCCATAGTTGGGAGTCCATACAGCGGCTGGTTTGGTGTTTGGTTTGTGGACCGTTAAACCAGCTGCCACGAGTCAACTCCAACCATGGTGACTCCACGTGTGGCAAAATAGAACTGGGTTCCACAGGGGTTTCAGTGGCTGATTTTTCAAAATCGATTGCCAGACTTTTCTCCCAAGGTGCTCCTGGGTGGCCTTAAAGTGCCATCCTTTTGATTAACAGCCAGATGCATTAACCGTTTGCACCACCCAGGGACGCCATGTACCCTTTAACCCCATTACAGACAAGGACATCGAAGCTCAGGAAGTGAGGTCACGTATGTAAGGTCAGCTAGAACATGGCCAAGGTAGGTGCTCAACCCCCATCCAACCATGCTCATAATCCCTGCCTGGTAGTCGGTAACCTCAGGGGACTCCAGCCATGTTCCCCTGTGGGCATGGGAACAAACATAAGACTGACACTTCCTCAGTGAGCTTACAGTCTCCTTTGAGATCAGAGTCTCACAAATGAGAGAGCTGGTGCAGTTACCTGTCTCATGTACGCTGCACCCTGCCCGCCCTCCCCTTCTCTAAGACTATATACTTGTTTTTCAAAGAAATTGAACTGAGCAGATGAGGTTTTCATTAACTCTAAAAGCTTTTGGAGGCCAAGCTACACATGAGCTATTTATTTCTGCATCTTCAGTATCTGGGACATACCTCCACAGAATGACTCCTGGGGGCTATCATTATATTTATCAAGGTAGCTCTTAAGTGAATGAAAGACTTTGATGGTGACTTTTGTCAAGAATTACTGATTTCAAATGTTGGGAAGCTTTTCTTCCTTGAATGCCCCTCGCCTTCTGGGAAGGAATGATACACATTTCTGGGAATGCTAGTTTGGCTGACTGTGGAGCCATTGTCCTAAAATGTCTTGTCAGGCTCACAGTCCCATTACAAAATTGAGATTTGCCTTCTGAGGGCATTTGACCTAGGATGCTTATAAAAAAAAAAAAAAAAAAAAATTCTTAATAGTCAATGCTTTCATCACGTAGTGTGTTTCTGGTTCAGTGAAGAACATAATGCCCCCAAATATTTCTGCAATCACAGAATATTTTAGCTAAAGTCCAGGGAAGATGGCTCAGTATTTCTTGATCCATAGTCAGGTCATAATGTATGTATATGCAGTATTGGGAACTTTAAAAGAATGGAAAATTCTTTTTTTTTTTTTATTGAAATATAATTTATGTGCAGTGAAATACACAAAACTAAAGTGACATGGATCAATGCAGTTTTTTTTTTTTTGCACTCCCACCCCTGGCAACCAATAAAGAAAGTTTAAAAGAACGGAAAATTCTTAAGGCGTGTTCTTATCAGTAGCCTTGGAGAAGTTAAGTAAGCATAGCTTGGGGTGCCCATTAATAACTTTGGACATAAAGAGAACAGAACCAAACCTAAACCAAACCCGTAGCCCTTGAGTTAACTCCGACTCATAGTGATCCTATGGAACAGGGTAGAACTGTCCCATGAGTTTCCAAGGCTGTAATCCTTATGGAAGCACACTGCCATGTCTTTCTCCTGGGAGCAGCTGGGGGGGGTTATGAACCTCTGACCTTTTGGTTAGCAGCTGAGTGTGTTATCCATTCTGCTACCGGGGCTTCCTAAATGGGACAGGAGGAAGCCCTAAACCATGACCAGTGAGAGAGGAGCTTCACAGCTGAACTACGAAGCCTCGCTTTATCATCTAAGGTTATCCACCTGTACGGCAGGGTTGGGCTGAGTCTGCCTAAGCCATCGGTGCTCATTTCCATTGAGTTGAAGCTGACTCCTGACGACCTGGGTGTGCAGCGTAGAGCTACTCCATAGGCTTCTCAAGGTTGTGGCCTTTCAGGAGCAGATCGCCGGTCCGTCTTCTGAGGTGCCTGCGGGTGGGTTTCAGCTGCCAACCTTTGACCTAGGTTGCAACCTAGTCAAGCACCTAACCATTTGCACCACACAGGGTCTCAAAAATAAGTTTCCCGATGTGGTTGGGTTGGGGACTGGGGGTGTGAAGAGATCTTTCCATACCCACGTCACCCTCCGAGGATCCCATAGAGAAATTTGATGCTGGAGGGCCAAGCGTTACTGAGCTGCTCCTAGGCTGACCATTGTGTTCCGCTGATGTCGCCTCCCGAGTGATAACACCACCGTGCTTGCTTCCCCAGGTGGCTGGGCTCCTTGGCTGTCTGCTGCTTGCTGACCCTCATCGTGATTTTCTATTACCTGGGGTTACTGTGTGGCACTTGCGGCTATGACACACACGCCACTCCCACCACCAGGGGCTGTGTCTCCAACGCCGGAGGCATCTTCCTCATGGCGTGAGTGTTTGCTCTTCTCTGTCACATGGGGACATGGGGGAAGGGGACGAGGTGCTGACTGTGGTGTCATGGGGACCTGGTAGCCTCTGGGCCGGGCACTCTGGGTTCCTTGGTGTGAGTGGGCTTTCCTTGGTTTGGGCATTTTCATCAAGTGCAAAAGTAAATGAAAACTCTCAATTGGTTCTGCATTGATTGACAAGCTCAGACACACTGTGTACCTATTGTGGGCTCCTCTTTAAAGCAGCTATCATGAGAGTTCTTTGAAAGTTTGCTTTCTTCAGTCCCATTGTCCTTCTCTTCATTCATTCACTTACCTGCCTTGTGCTTCTGACACTATTCTGTGTGCTTAGCAGTATTGCTGAGCTTTGGTGGCATAGTGCCTAAGGCACTTGACTGCTAACCAGAAGGCTGGTGGTTCAAACCCAACAGCCACTCCTCGGAAGGAAGATGGGGCAATCTACTTCCATAGTGATACCACCTCGGCAACCCAAGGAGGGGTCGCTCTGAGTTGGGTCCAACTCGACGGCACGTAACAACAACAACAGCAGTGTTGCAAGCTTATTCATTCTAAAACTCATGAACCTCAATGTAGATTTAAGAAAGCCAGTTGCCATTGAGTTGATTCCAACTCCTGGTGACCCATCTGTATCAGAGTAGAACTGAGCTCCACAGGGTTTTCAGGGTTGATTTTTTGCAGGTAGATCACCAGGCCTTTCTTTTGAGGTGTCTCTGGGTGGGTTTAACTTTCACCTTTCATGTAGCCCCCAAGCATATTAGCTGCACTACCCATGGACTTAAATTAGTGATGAGAGCCGATGTGTGTACCAGGAAGTGGAGAGTCTCCGGTAGAATGCAGTGATCACCACTCGCTCAAGGGCATTCACGTCCACGTTCATAGATTTGGAAGAACCCTGACTCTGGCAGGACATGACATGGCTTATTGGGAGCATGAGCCAGGTGTGAGTGGAGATGGAGCCAGACATAGAAACTAGGAAGCAAGTGTAAAATCTGAGTGCTCCCCAGAGAGTACGCTGTGGGTTCAAGGTCAATCCTGTCTTTGTTGATGAGCTCATCTGAGAATCAGCAGTATGATGGGCCTCCAGAGGAAAGGTACAAACATGGAGCATGTCTGCTGCAGATCCTTACCTCATGAGGAATGGAGAACACTGCCTCCTGGAGGCCTCCTGGGCCAGCATTGGGGCCCATAGGGTGTCCTGCCTTTACCCAGACCTCAGCTGCTTCATTATTTCACTTTCTGGGTCACTAGTCCCGGCTTGGAGAGCAGATGGCAAGCGTTAATTTGCCTTTCAAACACTGGGTCATTCTGACTCAGAGTGACCCTATAGGACAGAGTAAACTGCCTGATGGAGTCTCCAAGGCTTTAAATCTTTACAGAAGCAGACTGTCTCATCTTTCTCTCTTGGAGCAGCTGGCAG